TCGGTTGCTGGGCAGGCTTCACTGTAGCTGCTGCAGAATGCGGATTGGCGGGAAGTAAAGTTTTAATTGGGTTGAAGAGAGTACTTGAGCGAGACATCCACATTTATCGATAAGTTATCGATTGCGTCTAGAACAAATAGTAGCTTGAAAATAGTTAACATTTTATTATCATATATAATAGTAAGGCGTAATATATAATTATCGAAATGTTATCGATTCGTAGTATCGATAATTCGTATAATTCAATCGCTCAATCAAAATGTTATCGACAGCTTATCGACAGGTTTTCGCCCATTTGGCTAAAAGATATTTCATCATCATAGCGAGCTCATCGATTAGTTATCAATATGTTATCGAATATTTGTCATTTATTCTTTTTCTTTTTTGCTGTGCTTCTCACTTGCAGGTCTTCGCCTCGGCTGGTGTCCAAGTGTCTATTAGGTCATCCGATTGCAGGTCGGGGGCAACCCTCAAGCTAAACCCTTAGCAGACCCCTCAATCAGGCCAAGCCGCACCTAGAACCAGTGACTAGTTACCAGTACCTGTTAACAGTTACCCGCTTCCAGCTGAAGGTACTTCAAGGCTGGCTAAAACCAACCCCAAATCAGGGAAAGGGACTAAACTATGTACAAAGTGAATCACACACAAATAACTAAAAGCCCTTGCCGCTGCCAAGCGGAATGCGTTGCCAAAGGAAATGCTCAACAAAGACTCTGCGAATGTGATAGAAAAGGTAACAACAACAGCAACAAATGTAATAAAAACAAAGAGCCGTATATAAGGAATTGCCAAAGAGGCACACAGACGCCCAAGAGTCAAGTCGACTTGAGCAAGCAGAGCCGTCACCTCATGCACTCTCTCTCTCTCTCTGCCTCTCCTTCGTCCACTTCCACTCGAGCAAAACATAAATTATCAGCACAATGGACAACAGTCAAGGCAAAGGCAACGGCAAAAGCAAAGGCAACGGCAAAGGCAACGGCAAAGGCAAAGGCAAACGTAAGAATAGCAGAGACACGGGCAACAGGGCAAAGGAATGCCAAATAATAACAACAAAGGCGAAAGCACAAAGGGGGTGGGTTTTGTTTTGCATGCGACGCTAGCAGCGCGAGAGACAGAGACAGAGATAGCGAGAGAGGCAGGCTGGCGGGCAGAGCGCGGGAGAGTGTAAGCAAAAAAGCATGCCCGGGACAAAGTCTATTTTAATTTTGACGTAGTTAGTGACACAGAACGTTTGGCCAAAACAAATGGCAACAAAATTGCATTAGCAGTGTGCGCGACTAGCATATACCCTGTAAAACTAGAATTGTCTTAATAACTTTAGTGTTTGTGGTGCGATTTTGATCTAATTTTCAGAGTTTGCAGAGAATAAGACGAACAACAAGATAATACCTCTCAAAGTAGATTTTAATGTAGAGAGGTATATGCGCCTTTGACAGAGAATTGAACTTAGCTAAACTTCATATGTATGTGAAGAGAGCTTTTTAACACATTACTGGGCATCAAAAGACATATTCATACGCAATGAGTCTCTCTTATCTTTACCTGCATGTCAAACTGGCGTTCTCAAATGTATATACATGTTTACAGGGTATTCAAAAGGCAGAGATTATGAGAACATCATAAGCAAAGCAGCGGCTCAGGCAGTGGTAGACAGTTGTATTCGCTGCTCAAGGCAGCTTAAGTGTCCCGTTCGCTTTGAACATGTTGCGCCTGCTGCTGCTGCGGCTGAGTATCTAGCAGTCACACAGACACATAAGAAATTGTATCTGTAGCTCTGTATCGCAGACTTGGATTTAGACTTTGGTGTGGCGCGTGGGCAGTGAGGCATAAGAATGCCGCCTCATGCCACAAGCGGCAGACAGTGGTCCGGCTCCACGCTGTGGGGGCCCGCAACAAAGTAACACAGAAAATTGTTGCACGTTAACTGCTAAGAGAGGCGAATGGGTATATCAGCTATGGCTAGCAGTTGAATACCCTTTAAACATTCGCAAATCAAGCTGTAGATACTTTTGTATCTATGTATCTGTGGCTTTTTAAGAGACATATTTTAATTGTTTGTATATAGATAATGGAAGGAGATAACTTGAGAGTGATGAGTGGGGCATATTTATAGTATAGCTGAGAGAGAGAATATAGAGCAAGGCTAGTTAGGGTATATCAGCTATAATAACTAAATGTTGACAGCTTGAGCTTGAGTTACTTTCATAAGGCAGTTCATATACTCTATGTGTAGTGTATCTGCAAGTCGTCTTGCCCCAATAATGCAGAAACTTCAACTTCTTGTTAATAAGTTTCAAACTGTGGCTCTAACAAGTCTGTGTAGCAAGTTACATGGCAACGGCTACGAATGCTCGAGTGTCTTGTCTGCTCAACAACAGTTGCCGCCTACCCACACACACACACGCACACACACACGCATACACGCACAACAAGTCGCTGTTGCTGAAGTGACGTTAAAGTATCTGCGCATTCGCTTTGAGTATCTACATCAAAACACAAAAAGTTGACTTGCTTTGTAGCTGTATCTATAGCTGTGTCTGTGTGTGTGTGGGTGAGCGCCAAAAGTTCATGTGGAGCCAGGCAGCATTAACACGGGGCGGGGGTGTTCCACCCTCAATGTATATAAATATTTTTTGTTTTTGTTGTTTTCTCTTCACAGCGCGCTAACTAGGTATGTGTGTGTGTGTGTGCGCGCTTGGGGATTACGTAAGGGAATCCCCAACATTTGCAGCGCAGTCAACAACAACAGCAGCAGCAGCAGCAGCAGCAGTATCTAAAACGTAGCGAAGCGCTGAACTGCGTCAGAGTCAGTTGCATGTTTTATGCATGAACTGTGCTGCTGCCACGCCCCCTTTGCCACTGGCCCCAGCCACCCTTTCGCAGCTTCGACTCTGTGCGCAGCAAATATTAAATGTAAAAAATAGAAGAAGAAGAAGAAGAAAACGCAAATAAAGTATCTTATAGATACTTTTGTGTGCGCGTGGGTTGAGGGAGCTGCGTGGGGCATGGGGCGTGGCGCGTGTTGCTGTGTAACAAGTGCGCGCTTGGTTGAGTTTCAAGTAGAAACATTGCTGCAAGCTGCCACGCCCCCCCACCCCACGCCTGCCTTGTTCGCCTTGCAGCAGCGACCTCCTGCAGTTTTACAGTTGCTTTTCCTTTTGTTTTTTTAGTTTGCAAACTGCAAAATATTTTACTTTGTCGTAGAACTTTGCATGGGCGTGGGCGTAGGTGGGTGGAAGGGGTGCGGGTAGTGGGTAGTGGGTAGTGGGCAGTGGGCGTGTTCACTTACTTTTACATATTGTTTTTTTGTTCGCCTGAGTTTAAAGCGCGGCCAAAACGCAATCTTTTAGCTGTAATTGAAAATGTCTGTTTCGCTCTCTCTCCTTTTCCTCCCTCTCTTTCTCTCCCGCTCTCTCTCTCTCTCTCGCTCTCTTTATCAATGTATCTAACTCGCTCTTGGCTTTTCTATTTCTATTAACATTTGTTGCCTGTGGTGAACTTTTGTTTCAGCCTTTGTCCTTGCAAATACCCTGTAAAAAGCGTGCAAGTGCTAAGGAGTTTTCTTTGCGATGTAGATGCCTAGCTTGCAAAGCGTGTTGTTCATGCATCAATCTTCAATCAATCAATCGGGGCTTAAATGTTTTTTACATTCGTATTATTCATCACTTTTTATTAGTCTTAACGAAATGCACTGCTGAGCGAATTTCTATTGTCTAGCTCGAATAGTTTGCATGTCAATCATAAATCGTTAAGTCAATCAATCAATCAATCAATTTGTGTGAATCAGCAGTCAATCAATCAATCATTCCCTCAATCAGCTTGATTGACAACCTCTAAAGTAATATAAACTTAGCTTAATTTCAAATAATACGTAAATTTCAGCTGTCGAGCTCTAATGCTTTGCAGTGTGCGTCAATCATCAATCATTCAATCAATCGGCTTACATTTTTATGATTTTTCAAAAAGCCTTTGAATTCTAATTGAATTCTGTTCTAATTATCATTTTGGGAAATAGTTTAACATTTATGTCAATCAATCAATCAATCAATCCAAGCTATATAATTGATGTATCTAGCTAATGCGTGGTATTCCCTAGTCAATAGTTACTTCAATTGGGCTGCCATTTGATAGACAAGTAGTTTCACGCATACTAACAACTTGCCTATTTACACACACACACACACACACACACACACACACAGCTGTAGCTGTTTATACAACGACGGCCTTGAGCTCAAGTATCAAGTTTTGAAGTTAACGCATGTCAACAGGCGCAATAAAAAAAGGATGTTGTGAGCATGTGTGTGTGTGTGTGTGAGTGTGTGTGAGTGTGTGTGAGGGTCTCGAATGTTCAATTGTTGTAATGTGCATATACTTAAGGCACACACTGTGCGTATATATACGAGTATATATATTGGGTTAGGTTATAGGGAAAGTAGCTAACTTCCGCTGCTCGCAAGTACAATTGCTGGAAATGTGCATATACTTATATTGAGGACTGTGCATGTACTTATAGCAGCAGCTGTGGAAGCCTAGCTGAACAAGTTTTAACTGTAAAAGATTCGGATGGAATTGGGGCTAATTCGAAATTTTATTATGTGCATACTTTTGTCACTGACTGTATATATATTTAGTTCATTGACTGTTCGCATACTTTTAGTATATACTGTCGAGTGTTATTTGAAGAGGTTTTAAATATCTGTGAATACTGTCAAGATATATATCTAATTTATACGTTGTATAACTATACTTTTGTAACAGACTGTTCATATACTTTCTCCATAGACTGTAGATTCTTGGCTTTACTTCTTAATATATTCCAATTGGAATATCGTTTACTGTGAATATATATATAGACCTTCGATCTCTGCTATATATATGCATATACTTTTGCCATGGACTGTGCACATACTTTCTCAACAAACTGTGTCCTTCTACTCTATATATGTATTCCAATTGGATCTGATTAAATGAGAATTCAAATTCAAATTTTTACTTACTGCCACGTCCGCTGCCCTTGCGTCGCGCCATTTTCGAGTCTATCCACTGTCTGTGTCTGTGTCTGCCTGTGTGTGTGTGGGTGTGTGTGTCCTGTGTCCTGAGTGTATCCTTTATGTTACTTCCGTTTGCCTGTCTGTTTACAAGGCTCTAGTTATGCGCCGACATCGTAAAAGTTGCCTCGGACTCTGCGACTTGATTGATGTGCAATATATATATATATATATATATATATATATATTAGATATTCACGCCTGCCACGCCCACTGCTGGGTGTGTGGGGTGTGGTGTGTGTGTCCTTGCCACGCTTCTGTTGTCCTTCGTGTCCCTTACAGCCAGGCAGGACGTCTCAGCGCGAGGCAAAGCAAAGCGCTCGACTTGCTCGCTTTTGTGGCCTGATTCCGTTAGCCTTTATATTTATATATATGTATATAACTGTGTATAAACGTGCTAGTGTAGTAGTGCCATGTGAGTGTGTGAGCTATGATGACGTGGCTGTTGCTCGCTTGGCTTTTGGCTGCCCGCAATTTGCAGTCAAAGGCAACATTTTGCCTTTAGCACAATTTCCATTTCATTTTTGTGTGTGTATATATAACTGTATAAAATGCTTTAAAATATACCAAAAAAAGTTCCTTTTATGCTTTAATTTTGATTTTTTGTTAAACTTTTTTAAATATTTTATTTGTATTTCTTTTTTGTGGTCGTTTCGTTTGATATGCTTTTTGCGCGTTTTTTTTTCTTGTTTGTTGATTTTGAATTGTGGTCAAATTTAGCCACAAACCACGTGGGATTTGTCTGCTTCTTCAACTTCTGTTTCTTCTACGTCTTCTGCTTGCTTTTTTGTTTGTTTGTTTATTGTCGTAGGCCGCGTTTTACCGTTGAATCGCGCGCGTGCAACAAAGACGGCAAGCGTCCAGCATGACGTATGACAAAAGCAGGCGAAAAACAATTGCGTTTGCTTTTTTGCTTTGTTTTTGTTTTTTATTTGCTTCGCTTTTTTCCTTTTATTAGTTTTCGGCAACACGTTGCGTATACGCAATACACAGACTTAACATGCAATTCAACTACTTTAATATATACACAAATATATATATTGATAGTTAAACAAATCTACGTGTATTTGTTATCAATTTTCCTGTGTGTGTGACACTTTCAATATGGCGCGTATGTGTGTGTGTGTGTGATTTCTATTAATATAACTGAAATATATTCGCTGCTGCTGCTGCTCTACGAATTGTATGTGAAGCGCGCGAATAACGAGAGGCGTGCGTCGACTTCGCCGTTCACGAACAAACAAGACGCGATGTTAATACAAAACTGAGCACTGTTAACACTTAAGTGTTCGGCACGAGCCGAACAAGCTCACGAACCCACACACACACACAGAGCAGAGAGAGTGGAAACTTGTATTGAGCGCACGTATAACCTGCTATCTGCGCTGCCAGCGCGCTCTCTTTCTCTTTGCCTGTAGCTTTCAATTGCGTTTGCTTTCAATTTGTCGTTGCTCGTTTATGCTTTCAATTGCCTTTGTGTTTTTGTTTACCTTTTTTTGTTGCTGTGTGCGCTGCGCATGTTTTTGCTCTTTGAGTGGTTTTCGTATTAAAAGCGCATTTAAGAGCGCGGGCGCTGTGCTCTTACTCTGTGCGTTAGTTGTGACTCTAATTGAGTGGAATTTGATTGAATTGTTATTTAATTTATAATGTCAACTAGCTTAGCTTTTGTTTACATATATTCAGACCTGTTAGTTATTAATTAAGTATTTTTTAATTTTTTGTTTCAAAAACACTAGTTGAGCTCTGAGTTTTATGGAAAATAAATATTTTGCATACTTTTGGGCGCAAAATTTTAAATTTTAAATTTTTATATGATTTGGTTTCATTTGTAGCTTTTAATAATAATAGTAGTAGATAAAGATATATTGCTTATAAAATTTTAATAGTAATAAATATAGTTTGTAGTTGAAAATTCAAGAAGTTTTTTAATATTTTTTAAATTTATTAAAAAAAAACTTTATTATTTGTTTTAATTTTTTATCATTAGTTTTTTATAATTAAATTCTAATTAATATTAAATATTTGCTAGCTAACGCAGTTTTTATATAATTCTTATTGAGATAAACATTTATCAAATACAAAAAAAAATACATAACCCCGTTAAATTAAGGAAAAAAAGAAAAAATTTTGATATATGTTATTAATGAGCTCCTTAAGCTTCTTCTTCTTCAAACTGAATTGAGACAATACTTTTTCCTTCGAGTTTTATTCAGAGATGTATATTTTTTTGGGTGGGCGTTTACAGAGTAGCAAAACACACACAACAATAAGGCGTGGCAAGTGATTTAGGCATCAAATTCAGAACAGAATACTCCTGCCCTGCTCTCTTCTTACCCTCTATTTAACCACTTACGCTTCCCTCACTCTCTCTCCCACTATTACTACGTTATCTCTGCTCCTCTTTTCCCGCACACCCTCTCCCACTCTCTCGTAAACGCATTGGCATCAATGAATGTGGCAACAGCTGTGTTTTGTTTACTTCTCATGACGCAGGCGCCATTTTGCCGGCCGTTTCCATTGTTCCAGCAATTCGAATTTCGCATTGGAAAAGGAGGGGAAATTTCGTTTCGAACATTGCCTAAGTTTGGCGCCAAATGTTGAGTGAATTTGCCACGCAGTCGGGCGATAAAAGCGCAACCGAAAGGAACGTCAAAGCAAGCGCGGATCGAAAGTTGCAAACAAAATATTTGAAAAAATTAAAATAAACTAATAAATAAAAAAATAATAAATATAAAATAAAAAATCAAAATAATATGTATATGTTAAAATATATAATAATAAAAAAGTATAATAAATTTAAAAATACATAACAAATTTCAAATTTTTAACTTATAAAGAAATAAAAAACAACGAATAAAATTACGTTAAAAGTTAAAAAGAAATATATTTAATTAAAAAAAAATATATATATATAAATAAAATTCAATAATAAGCTAGAGTCAATAAAAAAATAGTATGAATAATAAAATTATAATAAAATAAAAATATAAAAAAATAAAATAAACAATATAAAATTTATTAATATATAAAAGAATATGTAAATATATATATATAAATATATAAATAAACTGGCAGTGAACAAATTATTATTAAAAAATAAATGAAAAGAATTTAAAATAATATTGTTAAATATCTATTATATAACGTGTGCTTCAATTAATGAAATAACATTCAAATTGCAGTTTTCAATATGAATAAATAATTAATAATTTATAGTTTGAGATTTGTGATGGATTATGGATTCCTTTGCGTTCGTATTTAAACTGAAATAAATTCGCCATAAAAATGTAAATATCTCTCTCTCTTTCTACTATTTTAATATTTTATTTTACTGACACTTCGGGCAGTGCTTCGAGTTCAGCCTCAGCTTGCAAAGTCTTGAGATTCTTTTAGTGACGAGTTCAATTTCATGCTTCACCTTGTGTTTTTCTACAGATTGTTCCGTTAGCCGCCCCTTAAGGTGTGGCACGTCGTAGACTTAATATTAAAAATCAGCTTTAGTTTCTGCAGTTTCAAGAGGTATCATGCAGTCGGATGTGCTCCACTGCAACGCTGTGACTTGTTTTTATTGTTCTTCAACTCAAAAGTGAATTAAACGAAATTTTTATTGCCTCAAGAAGAATTGATTCATTTTTAATGGTAATTTTAATTTATTAACTAAATAAAAAATGTATTTAATGCATAAATTATTTACATAAAGTGAAGTGAACTTGTTAACAAAAATTCACAATTTTAATTAAATTTTTTTTACTTATTTTAATTTGAATTTATAGCAAAAAATTTCACTTATGTGTTAAAAGTATTTTATTTTTTATATTTTATGGATTCAAACATTTTTTTATTTTATGTCTATCAACTGAATCGTGCTCTGGCTTTGACTTTGACTATTGACTTTGAGATATTATTAACAAAATAAAATAAAATAAAATAGAAAAGAAAAAAGTGTCCGTGGTTCGAATTGCGTGTGTTTCACATTGATTGGAAATCCTTGCTGCAGGCAAATTTTGATTGTTCATTAGAGAGGAAAACAAATTGGATTTGTTTTTATGTTCGTGCTCTAGGTGAAAGCGGGTATATTGGTTGGGCCTCCAGTGGGCAGGGTCTAGAGACGGCGCTTGGTAACTTTTCTATTTTTTCGCATAGAGTAAAGGAGATATCTTCTATTCTGAGGGCTTCGTCCACAGCACAATCAATTCAGTTGTTCAAGTAGCTTAAGTCATCGAATTTGATATGAAGTGAGAGCAGCTGCAAGTCCCGAAGAACAGGGTATTTGTCCAGTCAGGTATAGAAATTAGTCACATCAGTTATTCAAGCATTTTTCAGTTCTTACAGAAGCGGAAAGAATCTAAATTTCAAATGGGGATTCTAGCAGCTCTACTCCTCACGGAATACAGGGTATCGTCTAGTGTGGCACTATCAACTACCATATAATTTCTCGTACGGCGATTTCAGTTATTTCAGCTTTTCTTTCGCTACTTTGCCCTTTCCACTTTCCATTTCCCCATTTCCTTTTTTCAATACAGGGTATTCCTTAGTCGTTCATAGTTAAACTCTTACATGAAATATTTGTTGTTTTCTGGTCAACAAATCAGTTTAGAATCCGCTTGCATTTTCACTCTTCGTTGTTTCCCCTTTCGTTACTTTCGCCACTATCTCTTTTCCCAGTTTCCCGCTTTCCCTCACCCCAATGCCCGTAATTGAACTAAATTATTTTCATTTTCATTTACATTCAATTTGTTGTTGTTCTGTTATAAATTCGATCGACATTTGTCGCTGTGTAATTCGCTTTGTTTGTTTAACGATTCCAATTTGCGCTCTGAGTTAATTCTAATTCGAATTCAACAATTAGGCTGGAACAAAGGAAATTTAATTGTTTAATGGCTTTTCCTGATGTTGTTTTTCCTTTTCAGTTTTTAATTGCAGCTGGACATGATGAATGGACAGTAACAAAAGCCAATATACCCTATTACTACATCGCCTACTCCAGCCCTTGCTCTCTGCCTCGTGCTCTTCGGCTCTGCGGCTCTTCCCGTTGGCTCTGGCTGTAAATTAAACGCCAAAGTCAATACTTAATTGCCTTTGTTGGCCATAAACATTATTGTTTATACTACGCGAATATATAAACAAATATTGCCCAAGAGGAAGAGGTTAAGAGCGAGCGAGAAAGAGGAAGAGACAGGCGGAGCCACAGCGGGTCTCGCCTCATTCACAGAAAAAGCAGCAGAAAGAATAGATAGAAAATTGAAATAAATATCTATAGGTGAGTACAGCACTGTTTATTAAGCAGTGCACACACACACACACACACGAACACAGGCAACACATTTAAGCACTGCTAACCTGTCGTATACTTAACGAGCATCTAAATATTGCGCATACGCAACGTTAGCCTTGATTCACAATGATGTGGGACAGGCACAGAGCGCACACAGAGGCAAGACATGCTCATACATACATACACCTATGTAAATTACAAGTAAGAATGCTTGACTAGCAGATACCCTGCAATCGGAGTATTGTTTGATCTGCCAATCTTCTTGTAAGCAAGCAGACACATGGGCACACACACACTTGCCTATACGTGTGTACACACACCCACACTCACGCTCACACACTCACACAAACAAACTTATACACTGCTGACCTGACGTATACTTAACGAGTATCAAAATATTGTGTATACGCAACGTTTGCCTTGCATAATATTGGCAGACACAACAGACCCACACACACACAGGCTATACACACACATATTAATAATAAGTAAGAATGCTCGGCTAGCAGATGTCCTGTAAGCTGAGCAACGCTTGAGTTATGCTTCAGAAGCAAAAACAACATATCGATATTTATCGATATTATGACAATGAGAAAAGATATTAAGCAAAAGCTCTAACTTGGATCCTGCAATATACAAGTTTATATATATCTAAGCTCAAGTGCTTAGCTTGAGCAGTTTTTGAGTTATGCAGGCTTAAAGCCAGCAACAGGCAGAGAGATGGATAGATCGAGTTAGCTGCTTACGCTGATCAAGTAGCTATATACCTTCAGTATACCTCACATATGCTTAGCAATAGATAATATACCCTATTTTTGGCAGCTTTTCGAAAGGGTATACAAAAATATTGCGCATACGCAACGTTAACCTCGTTTAAATTTGAAGACCTCCGCAGCAGTTTGACTCGCATATTGTTTTCTGTTTATTAATGCCTGATTTGCTGCTGGTAATCGAAGTATTATATATTTCAGAGTACATTTAACGGTTTTTGGATACATTTCGATCATGTTTCGAGCACCCATTGATTTATGAATTCCGATGAATTATGTGCGCTTAGCTACGCAGCGAGTCGAGCAGGCAGTGCGGCTGATAGGCATGCCGTCGGGCAGGTGTGGTTAATGCGCGTTCCGCCATAAAAGGTCAGCCTGAGATAGCAATTGAGTGCACACATAAGCAGCTGGAAAAACCATAAACCGAAGAGAGGCAGAGCGAAACAGGAAAAGGGAAATGTGGAAAAATGAAAAAAGGAATTTGAGAGGTGCCTAGAAACCAGCCCAAAGCCTTTAAGCTATTGCTAAAGCACTTTTTTCTTGGTAAGCTGTTGAAAAGAAATTTAGGAAGTGAGGGAGAGAGAAGGTGGGAGAGAACAGCAGGCATTACTGACTGTTAGCTAGATACTCTACCTGGCAGATAGGAAAGCACACAGATAACGAGAGACTATATGATAGTTAACACTGCGAGGGCAGATAGGGTGTTGTCAATGAGTTAAACATGCACCCTAGCTGTGTAGAGGGTAGAAAACCAAAGAAAAACGAAAGACAAATCATTAAATACTGTAGCTAATACTTGGAAAATGTTCGCTTAGCTCGAACAGTACAAGGCTCAAGGGCCGAGCGTAAACGAAGCATATTGAAGCATAAGCTCAATGTCAAGTCTTACCAAAGGAACGGAAGATCACACAGCAATGAATTCTGCTCGAGAGAGCGACTGAATTGAGAATTTTAACCATCAGCAGCTCCGAACTTCTATTGGAGAGGAGATGAGGAGAACGACCAGGGACAAGGGATTTCGATCAGCCTCGACGAGGCCATTGTCCGTGAGTGGGACTTGACCCCAGCCCAAAGCTCAGAGACAAAATGTGGGCATTGCGGGCCAAAGCAATTTCGTTCTGCATTTTTGAACATTTTCATAAATTTAAAAATTCCTTGAAATAAATCATGACAAAATCTTCGAGTGCCTAACATGGATTAATGAATTAGATTTATTTATTCAATTTATGAAATTGTAATGCGATTCTATAGAGGAAGCTTCTTAGAAAAGCTACAACAGAATTTGTATTATTTAATCGTTTCTATGACACTTTGATAAGATACCACAGCGAATTGCAAGCACTTTGCTTTCACAATCTTATTAACTGTGGTCAGTCTTCACGGTAATAAACATTTCTTTTCCTAAAACTAACTTATTTCTATTTAGCATAGGGCGCAAGTGTCCTTCTACTCGATTCTTCTAAAGTGGCTTGACTCACAGAATGTGTGCAGCTTGTCTCTTTAAGAGCTTCCGCATAAATCTTAATCAGAGAGTCGAAACAACAATCAACAATCGCCATATTTGATTTATATATATCTGTTGTCATCTAGAGTAAGAGAGATAGATTTTTTATTAGGAAAGTCTTCGAACTTCAGGCGAAATAGCATAGACCAAGCCATGAAATTATATTGTTTTTAAATATTATTAATTGTATCATATATATATTTCTATCTAGCCTGGTATTTTAAGACTTCTGCTGCCCAAGCAAGAGTTGCACTTGAGCCAAACGCTTAATATTCTTATTTGAAGATGTTCCAATTGGACATCTGACTGTGCGTTCCAATCGGACATGTTGCGATACTTCTTGCTTATGGTTTGCTAACAAACTAGTTGTTGTGCGTGTGTGTCACACGTATATAGCCGGAAGCACAGGCTTGGGTCAAAGAGCAAACGGAAAACCACAAAAGGCAATAGACGAAACAAGATTTGGCTTGACCTTAAGTCTTTGCTGAAGTGTGTGCGTGAGTGTGTGCGTGAGTGTATGCATGTGGAGGTTGGACATCAAAGACTAAATAGTTCTAAATCGGAAAATGAAAAATTGCACTCGGAATAAGTGAGATGCCAAATGCTATCTGAAAGCTGTGCAAATAAGACAATGGCAACTCCCTCGCCAATTGGCATGTGTCCGAGGAGGCATGAGGGTGGGTGACGTGGCACTCAGCTGGACACTTTTTAATATGCCACAGCAAGAGAATGTCGTTTTATTAAAAACAGAAAAAGAAGCTGACAAACACATAAAAAAAATGCAGATAAAAAGCGAAAAGGAATTGAGCTGAGGCACGCCGCATGAGCCTCGCCTCACTTCATTACGCCAAATTACTTTGGAAATCTTTATTAAATATATATGTATATAGAAGTATGTATGCAATTTGGTAGCCAAACGGTACTTAGCCAGCTGCCCCAGCCCCCACTAAGTCTTATTTATGTGAGTTTATTGCCGCTGGACATGAGCCTCAATTTATTTGGCTTGCATGCCAGCTAATTAGCTGTCAGAGCCATCCCTCATTGAACCTGATTGGTAAGAGCAAGCTCACGCACGGAGAGAGAGAGAGAGAGATAGAAGGAGAGAGAGATAGAGAGAGAGACACACATTGGCCTTTACAGTTTGGTAATTGACAAAATTTCTAATTACCTTTTTAGGCAAACTTCTCTTTGATAGATAGATATGTATTTTATATAAATATACCGGATTATCTAGATAGTTATACACATAACCACATTTCCATACATTGCGTGGACCCATTTCAAAGTCAAAGAGATCAGATTTCAACATATTCATTCCGATAACATTCGTTTTTCATATTGTGAATCACATGAGCATATTCAGGGCATATTGGTTTTGCTACTCAAGAGCTCAAATTAAGTATAGCAATTAGTTCGCATTTGTATAAAATTTCTATTGCACACATAGTTACAGGGTATGTGGGCAGTCGGTCAAGCCATATGTTGTTGTATGTTAAATATTGAGAGCATTATGAGTCACGTTTTATTTATGTCACAGAGCTCAAATTTCCAATTTATTAGAAAACGTCTTATCCGATTACGTCAATCGAGTAATACGAGGTGACTTCAAAGTGGGCAGAGATAAAGAGGAGCAGGCGTAGCTGCAGAGAGAGAGGAAGAGCAGAAAGGATTGTGGAACGCAGCTAGAGAGATAAGTAGATTCCTTTGGTTTAATTAGGCAAATTTTGTTGGCATTTCATCTTTTACTTCTGCTCGGTGTCTATGAATACATTTTGTGCTTGTCACTAGCAACTCTAAACAATGAGCATGAAGCACAGAAAGTGAAACTGAAAGGGGCAGGGGCAGTGTGAGTGCGAGAGCTAGGGGTAGCTTTCTCTCTCTCTCTCTCTCTGGTATATTTCGTTATTAATTTTAATTAAAAAGCGCCTGACTTTAGCTTGGTTCAACGAAATTTCATTTGGTTGCCCAACGTGTTGATGCCTCACAACAGGCAACAGGCAGCAGGCAGCAGGCAGCAGGCAACAGAGGCATAAAACAGACAAACAAACAAATAATAAAAGAACATTTTCCACAAGTCGCCCGCAGATGTCTTCAAGTGCACTTGGCGAAATAAGTGTGGAGTTAAAAGTTTTGCCTCGAAATTCGTTTTCAACTCGAATTGTTCAACTGTTTTACTGCTGCTACTTGATTTGAGAATTGTTTTTACGCTTTGCTTAATTCAAGTCGAATTCAAACTTGATTTAAAATTCATTTAAAATTTACTTGTCTTCATATGATATATAGTTCGATATATATGTCGACTCTGTTTCAGTTCATGCTCCAAATAGAGTCCTTAGACATTTCGATTTATTTATTTGATATCAATCAAAGAAAGTCTCGTCTAGTTAATCTGAACCACTCTGAACTCTTTTTATGGCAGAGAGTTATTTTCAGGCACTGAAAAGATTGAATTACCAACCTGATTCCACATCTAATTGTTCCTTTTGTTCCCCAATATCACAAGTAAAATGTTCAATGTTCAATGTTTGCTCAGTGCCTGCAGCAGCTGATGAAGCCTTTGTACAGCTCGCTTTGAAGGTATTTGCATCTGAGAGGGGAAAGTGCTTCGATAATGTGCTTAGGTCCATTGACATCCAAACTGAATATATTGAACAATAAAGCAAAACATTTTCATTATTATTTTACATTATTTTACATTTTATTGTTTGCTT